CTGCTTCTGCCTCTGAACCTCTCTCCTCTCGTGTTCTCTCATTCTCTCTCTCTCAGATAAATAAATAAAATCTTTAAAAAAAAAAAAAAAAAAGAAAGGAATGCATGTGCACACCAAGACTCAGGTGCCAGAATGATCACCCCAGTATTATTCCTAATAGCCAAAGAGCCAGCTATGCCTTCCACAGTAGACTGCACGAGTAATCTGTGGTGTTGTCCTACAATGAAGCAACTCACAGCAATGGTAATGGACACATTGCCACTATGCACACCTATCTAGATTAATCTCACGTAAGTAAAAATAGCAAACAAAAGGAGCCAGAGAAAAGAATACACAGTGAATGAGTGCATTTACTTAAAGTTCAGAAACAGGCAAAACTAAAAGAAACTGTTAAAAGAAGATAGGGATTATCGCACTTCCAGAAGGAGAGAAAAGTCATGATTAGCAGGACACACAAAACGAGCCTCAGACGTGCTGGCCATGTTTGACTTCTAAATCTGGGAAGTCATACAGAGGTGATGGTTTCTAATATTTCCTTGAGGGGTAGTATTGTGTTTTGCACAGTTTTCTGTATGTCTTACCCTGTAAGGATTAATTTTTTAAAATACACACCTTGATTACTACTACATAGGCACCAGGATATCTATCTACATTTCTATCATACAAAAATCTCTCATGAGAGAAGGATTTCTGTACGTTATCAGTGAACTCATTGAACAGAAAACCATGATCTGAATTTACACAAGGGTATTGAGCAATGTGCCTTTGTATGTACTCAGTGTGAATACACATTCCTTCTGTTGTGGAAATAGTATGTGTTTGTGTCCCCAGGACCCTCCGAGAGAATCACAGATAACATACATACACAGTAATACCAAACCCACAATGTCTGAAATCAGAACTTTGGGAGGCTATAGGGGTACATAAGGAGGGGTTGTGACCTGTATGAGACAATACTAAACATGAACACCCTTCGGTTACATGCATCCACCCACATGACTAAGTGTGAAAGAAAAATGCTGAACAATACAAGCAATTCACAGAAGAACATAAAAAGCATAATTCCGTTCACATAAAGAAGAAAAACAGGCACATTCAGAGTAAACTATACAGTGTATCATCTATGCATGGGGGTTATCAAACTGAACACTGATACAGAGGGTAGGGAGCCAGCAAGGAAAGAGACAGGCCACTCCCACTGGTAGGCAGCAGTGTTAATAAGCAAGGAAACTCACCCACAGGGCATGTCTTGTCTTGGGCACCCCAGGACAAGAAGATAGGCACACCTGCCCATCAGAATCATAGAAGTTTAGATACAGAGAGGCCTCATAGGGGTTCAGTCACTTTGTCTTCCAGAGGGTCTCGAAGGCACATTGCTCAATCAGGGCTGCGTGCTTGAAAATGGCGCCCACTGTGGGAACAGTGGGCAGAGCTACATTCTGAAGACAGGGGAGGGGGTGGGGAGTCTCCCATTGCCTGGGGCCAATTCATGGATCAACTGGTGGTCACATCTTCTCCAGGACCTCCCCCACCGTGCATATGTGGCAAAACTACAAAGAACAGCAAGAAATGATATACAGTGTTCACAACGGTGATTTCCTCAAAAAGGGGGAGGAAAGGATATGATTGAAAATAGGTCCACACAGGGCTTCTACAGGATTCAACTATTTAAGCTGAGTGCTGGGAGAATGGGCATTCATTATATTATCATTCCTTCAATAGCAAATGTATGTTTTATAAACTTTTTTGTATGTAAGACACAATTACAACAAAAAATAAATTCAGAGATTGGGGCACCTGGGTGGCACCTGCAGTTGGGGGTCCAACTGTTGGATTTGGTTCTGGTCCTAATCTCAGGGTTATGAGATCCAGCCCAGCATGGGACTCAGTGCGTAGCATAGAGTCAGCTTGGGATTCTTTCTCCCTCTCCCTCTGTTCCTCCCACCCATGCTCTCTCCCACTAAAAATGAATAAATAAATCTTTAAAAAGAAATTCAGAGATTGCACCCCGAGCGTTATACAGAGTCTACGGTGGTTCGTATCTCTGGTCACTGGGGTCATAGAAAATAGGAATATTCCCTCTATTACATGACATTTGAACTGTTGGTCATATTCTTGATCTATAATTTTTTGAAGATTTTATTTATTTATTTGAGAGAGACCACGAGTGGGTGGATGAGCAGAGGAAGAGGGTCAAGAAAACCCTGTGCCAAGCTCAGACCCCAATAATGGGCCGATACCAGGACCCCAAGGTCATGACCTGGGCCAAAATCAAGAGTCAGACACTCAACCACCTGAGCCACCAGGCACACCTGCTCCTGATCTGTTTTATCTTCAATTTTTTTCCTTTATTCTAGGATTGACTGTATTTCATCCATGGGGATTGGGCTCTAATTAGAAAGGGTAACTCTATGATAGAGACAGGCCCTGTTCAGGATCAGGCCAGGAAAGATGCATCCAAGCAGCACCTCACCCAGGGGAAAACCAGGAGTCCCCGCATGGATCCCAGCCGTGGTCATCTGAATGGTATTATCACTGACACTTCTGGGACTCAGGGGGCCCTGATGCAGAGGGGCGAGCTGGGAGGTTGGACAATTGCCCCATCTGGGCTCTAACTAGGAGAGGTGGGAATGGGTCCCAGGAGACACTGCCTGTGAAAAGTCAGCAGCGCCTGTGCCTGAGATATCACCGAAGACCCGAGTCTTTAGTCTGTGCTGCTCCTACAGACAGGGAAGGGCTCTGTGACTCTAGCCATGTCTTCTCGAGCAAACCCGATCTCCTTCCTGGAAGTGTCAGAGACTGAGGCTGGCCAACTTGTCCAGGTAAGAACTGAGGCATATGGATGGGGAGAGAGCAGTCTACCTTAACCCCTTATAAGAATGTTTGCGCGCATGCGCGCGCGTGCACACACACACACACACACACACACACACACACAGCAACTGACCTTCTCCTTTTGCTTTTTCCCTTTCTATCCTACATCCCCATCTGCCAATCAATTTCTGGCTCTTCAGATCACTAGGAGGGCCACCCACCTCTGGGGTTCTTCATGTGCCTGACAGTCTAGGCTGAAGGCATTGAAGAGAATGGGCTTCAGACTACCCTTCCCCCAGCCCCATCTGTGTCCTGGATTAAGCACACCTCCCTCTCAGTTCACTTGGGCAGGTGTGGTTCCAGAATCTCTCTCAGCCACCACACCAAGTCAGTACCAGTAACTGAGTCCTCTACATCCAGTTAGAGTTTACCAAACTTGTCCATACCCTCTCTTCTTCTAAAAACTTGAGCCAGCAAATAACTATTCCAGATAGACTCATGGATTCCCATTCTTCCATTAATAACCGGGGGCTGGGGGGACCCTGATGATTCTGTGATTTGACCAAGTTTATGCCAAAACACCAAAGGCTGTGCCATTGACAGTTCTGAGTAGAGACAGAACCCTGCAGAGGCGGTGCTGCTGACGGTGAAGATGGTGGTGGCGGCTTCTGTTGTTCACACCTCACAACTGACAAGCCCAACCTGCAGGCACAGACCAGAACACCACAACCACCAAGCACCGTCACTTGATCAAAAACAGCAATAACATGGGGGCGCCTGGGTGGCTCAGTCGTTAAGCGTCTGCCTTCGGCTCAGGTC